GGAGGAGGAGGAGGAGGAGGAGGAAGGCAAAGGGGGGTCCCCCAAAAATGGTGGGGGTCCCCGGAGGAAGGGGGGGCCCCCCCTGGGTGGGACGGTGCGTTTGGGGGGGCGGGAGTTCAGCGGGAAGAGGCTGGAAGCCTTCGGCCTCAACCCCCGCCGGCTCCGCTTCCGGCAGCTGCGGCGGAGGGGGAAAAATAGCGGGAATAGCGGGGAAAATACTGGGAAAAATAGCGGGAAAAATAGTGGAAATAGCGGGGAAAATACTGGGAAAAATAGCGGGAATAGCGGGGAAAATAGCGGGAATAGCAGGGAAAATACTGGGAAAAATACCAGGAAAAATAGCGGGAAAAATAGCGGGAATACCAGGGAAAATACTGGGAAAAATACCAGGAAAAATAGTGGGAGTAGCGGGGAAAATACTGGGAAAAATAGCGGGAAAAATAGCGGGAATAGCGGGGAGAATACTGGGAAAAATACCAGGAAAAATAGTGGGAATAGCGGGGAAAATACTGGGAAAAATAGCAGGAATAGCAGGGAAAATAGCAGGAAAAATACCGGGAATACTGGGGAAAATACTGGGAAAAATACCAGGAAAAATAGTGGGAATAGTGGGGAAAATACTGGGAAAAATAGCAGGAATAGCAGGGAAAATAGCAGGAAAAATACCGGGAATACTGGGGAAAATACTGGGGAAAATACCGGGAATACCAGGGAAAATAGCGGGAAAAATACTGGGAAAAATACCAGGAACAGGGAAAATACCGGGAAAAATAGCAGGAACACCGGGGAAAATAGCGGGAAAAATCCTGGGAAAAACACAGAGAAAAATCATGGGGAAAATCCTGGGAACACTGGGAAAAATACCGGGAAAAACCCAGGGAAAAATCCTGGGAACATGGAGAAAAATCCTGGGAAAAACACCGGGAACACGGAGAAAAATCCTGGGATCACCGGGAGAAATTCTGGAAACAAGGAGAAAAATCCTTGGAAAAGCACCGAGAAAAATCCTGGGAAAAACCTCGGGAACACCGGGATAACAGCAGCCGTCAATGGGAAAAAACAGAAACGCAGGAAAAATGCCCCAAACCCTCAGGAAAACACCTGAAA